TACAAATAAGCAACCATGGGTCGATACTGTTCCCAATAATGATGGGAGATACATTGCAGCTACCAGAGCTGGGTGAAAGGATAAGGTAGGTAGGTAGACAGATAGACAGTCCGCGATGCCAACATTGAAATGTATCAATCGGTCAAAACCTACATTACCTACCTGAGCCTATTGCGCAGGGCTATGAGGAGTCGGCTTGTTCTTGAAATGTTTTGTCATTCACGCATTATCAGACGAATTATTCCTGCATGTGCCGGGGGCGGGGGGGGGGGATTCATTTCGTGCAAAAATCAAATTCACCACCTTATAACATGGCAGAAAGGTAGGCAGATAATGAGGAAACAACAACTTTCCCGAGAGCCTCTCGTATTCCAATAATGCGTACGGTTCATAATGTAAACTGTATGTATGCTTCTTGTAGGTAAATTTCCTTTGCCCCGCTCTTGAATACCTACATACTACCTAGTACCCATGCAGCGAAGTTGGCACCCCAAGTGATGACAGGCTCTCCCAGAGGAGGATGCCAAGAAGATCAGATAAGTTTAGCCAGGATGGAAAACTAGCGAACGCTCATCTCCAGCTGTACATATACATAGATTACTTACATTGATGTCTGCTTTTGGACGGTTTAAATCCATATGCAGACGGTTCGAAGCAGACCCTTCCGCGTACAGGTGGGAAGTATGTAGATTGTTATCCTCGTTCTAGTACGATCTCCGCTGGGCATGCCCACAGCCAGGCAATGGAGGTAGGTACGTATTGCCTCGTCCAAGCAGTTAGGTGTCCCTTGTGGAAACATGATTTCATGTTTAATACTACAGATAAGTTTTAGGTATCTAAGTCAACCGACCTTCGCAGACCTCCAGGGACCAGCGATCATCTCGAGATCTAGCAGTCATATCGGACGTATTTACTCTTTAATTAATGGCTCGATTATAATTAAAAGTAGTATCTTCCTAGTGAGCCTAACAGAAGAATCGATTATTTCATTTTCTATTTAATATATATCGCATAAAGAAATATTATTTATGAATTTGCTCGCTAAGGGATCATATTGACTTAAGCCGAACGACTTTGAGAGTTTGCGTTATGCTTGTTGTCGCAGCTTCCTCCCGTTTTGTCACACTCTCTTGGATGATGCTAAACTATGTGGGCTGTGGCTTTGATGGACCCAAACTTAAGCTTCCCGATGTGGTAGGATGGGAGGAGGATAATTCTGCTGGTTCGTTTTCACTTGCTTGCACTGTTCACCTAGTGCCTCACCGGCGTAGGGACCGTGCTTAGTATTTTGTTGGCATTTAAGAGATAGAAGGTAAGGCACACGTGCGTGAGAACGACACAATGGAATAAGTAAATTTACTCATGTATATTTGGCTGAGTTCATCTACGTTGGCTGCTGGCAAGCAGAGCACGATTACCTAACCTTAGGTAAGTGCCTAGTAGAGCAATGCCTTGATCCGGGTCGATGTGTGGTTGGAAGATGTATGGCATAGATAGATACTACGAGTCGTCGCTGGGTACCTCAAATGCCTAGCTCGCTCAAGGCAACCTACAACAAGCCCATGCATTAAACAATGGCTCTACCTTCGTGGCTGGACCCCTACTTGTTCAGCGCAAATGTCGCGCGACAAGTGTGCAGACCGCCACGGAAAATATACCTCCCATGTTAATCCCTGTCTACCAACTGATTTATACTTAAGTAGGTATTCGTGTCTGAATAGTATCAATTCAAATGAGTACCTAGTTGCTTGCCAGACGGGCTTCCTGATATGTATGGTAAAGAATTACCTACAGACTTGACCTACTCGCGACATTGAATATTGGCTTGCCATGTGCGGACATGGTCTTGACATTATGTCTTGTGCGTACTTCACTTGCATGGCAAGCTGGCAAGCTGGCTGGCAACGGTCGGGCTGCGGAGAATCGCTGCCCACTGTCGATGACCTGACCGAGTTGCGTGTGTGCAGCCATTATCGGCTGTGAGTCCTTATTTCTGGCGGGAGTGCGCGTTCACGAGGAGTGAATTCGATCAGGGAAAAGTTTGCCTGCATACGGCAGATGAATCCTTCTACCAACCAAGAGGCCCGCCCCATCGACCACGTCAGTCCACGACAATGCATGAACAAGCATGGTGGACTTTGGTTGTACAAGCGGCCAAGGATGCAAGCGAGACTCACTCTACTGTGTATGTACTCTGTACAATACTGGGCAAAACTCCAGGCGTATCGCGGGGGCGAGGGGCTTTTGGGAGTGCGGGCAGCTGCCTGTATTTGTGTCGCATAGAGTGAGGTTGTCTTATTTACCTGGGCGCAATGGATGTCGCCCGGCAGCCTTGGTCTCCGTTCCCTCCAGGATCTACAGAGTATATACAGTCTGCGTCTCCTGTCAGAGTGTCAAGACTGTCGCATCTTGATGTATGATCCAGCAGTTAGGTTAACAGAGTCGAGTTCGCCTCCATGTTTGATATCTAAACACATGATACCTATATATACGGACATCTGATACTATTGTAGATATCCATTGGACCTATATAATCTGTTTTTAGCGCAACCGCTGCAACCTTTATTTGAGCTAAGTTCAACCTAGTAGTCTCTTTCTTTCTTATGTTTTGGCAACCTTCTGCCTTCCAGCTGTGTGCGTCCTGGGGGCCGGGCGTCCTTGTAGTGTCAAGAGGGAAACTTGAAGCCACTCGTGCCAGACAATCTTGAACGAACAAACGCAACCCTTTGTTCGCACAAGAAGTGCCGACCAAGCCCCCCACATCGCCGTTCTGTTGCTAAAATTTACTGACATTACGCGTGTAATAAATCAATTGAATGGCTACGCTCTCGACATAGGCACGCAATGCAAAAGCTCAGCGACCTATTCAACGGAGACAAGCTGGTTTGCTTTCCTCTTCCCCCTCCCTCCATATCCCTCTTTCCTTCCATCGCCTCATTGACTGACTAGTGGTCGGGCTCTTGGTGACTTGATTATCTTGAGACATACACTTTGTAAGCTGTGCCTGGCAGGCGGAACCCATGATGTATGTAAAGAGGTACATTATTGTCAGGTAGTTTAGAATACTCCTGGGCAAGCCTGACGTGGACTGACTTATGTGTACCGAGATTTAACACCCCAGCTACCTACCCACATATGTACCTCTGCTGCCACCAGACCTTCGCACTACGTACTAGGTGCGGCTAGCTGCCGACATCCCAACTAGCCAGCCAACCAACCAACCATGTCGACGTGATCACCAGCGACCAGCCCTCGGCAACGGTCGGACATCAGATCTGAGACCTCTCCAACTCAGCTGCAGACACAGGTACCGCAGATGCCACTCAGAAAAAGCCCCTCCTCTTTACTGACCTGGAAGTCACCTGTATTCGACTTGCCCTCTCTTCCATTTCTCACCGCGCGAATACCGCTTCGACCTCAAGCCACAATCACTTTGGTTCGTTTCCACTCGGCAGCCGTCAAGATGGCTCCTCCTCAATCGGCCCTGGACTTCCTCGAGTTCGTTAACGCCTCGCCTACCCGTAAGTTGTTCCCAACCCATAGCCTCCTCATCCATATCTCTCTCCGCATCGTACTTCCCGCGACTGGCTGGCCAATCAAACTGACCTCTTGGCAATGCTGCAGCCTTCCATGCCGTTCAATCCGCCATCGCCCGCCTCGACAAGGCTGGCTTCACCAAGGTCAAGGAGCGCGAGAACTGGTCAGCCACCCTCAAGCCTGGTGGCAAATACTACATGACCCGCAACGGGTCGACTATCGTGGCCTTCGCCATTGGATCCAAGTGGAGGCCTGGAAATCCCATTGCCATGGTCGCCGCCCACACGGACTCACCTTGCCTCAGAATCAAGCCCGTCAGCAAGAAGAGTGGCGTTGGTTTCCTCCAAGTTGGCGTTGAGACGTATGGCGGGGGTATATGGCATAGCTGGTTTGATAGGGATCTGAGCATCGCCGGCCGTGTCCTAGTCAAGGACGGCCAGGGGAATTTTGTCCAGAAGCTGGTCAAGGTCGACCGCCCGATCATTCGAATCCCAACTCTGGCCATTCACCTAGATCGTGAACCTAGCTTTAACCCCAACAAGGAGACGGAGCTGTTTCCTATTGCCGGAATGGTTGCTGCTGAGCTCAATAGAACTGGTGTTGAGGAGGTAGTCAAAGACGATAACACCAGCAACACAACCTTTCAGCCGCTGAAAGACATGTCCGATCGCCACCATCCCTACATACTCGAGATCATTGCAGAGCACGCCGGCGTCAGCGTCGAGAATGTCGTCGACTTTGAAATGGTGCTTTACGATGTGCAAAAATCAGTTTTGGGCGGCCTGAATGAGGAATTTATCTACTCAGCTCGTCTGGACAATCTGAATATGACCTATTGCAGCGTCATGGGATTGATTGAGTCAGTGCAATCGTCGAGTCTAGACGACGAAACGTCGATCCGTTTAATCGCTTGCTTCGATCATGAGGAGATTGGTTCAACCTCGGCACATGGCGCGAACTCGGATCTTCTGCCTGCCGTGGTTCGTCGGCTGTCTGTTGTCGCAGGTGACCGCCATGGAGACTCGGCCTCTCACCGGTCGTGGGAACACATCAGTTCCGACCCTGATGCTGATCTCACCACCGCCTTTGAGCAGACCGCGTCAGGCTCCTTCCTCGTATCGGCCGACATGGCTCACTCTGTCCATCCGAATTATGTAGGCAAATACGAGTCCAATCACCAGCCTGAGATGAACAAAGGAACTGTCATCAAAGTCAACGCAAATCAGAGATATGCCACCAACTCGCCAGGCATCGTGCTAATTCAAGAAGCCGCCAAACGGGCCGGAGTTCCGCTACAGTTGTTTGTAGTGAGGAACGATTCATCTTGCGGCTCGACTATTGGTCCCATGCTCTCAGCCCAGATGGGCATTCGCACTCTAGACTTGGGAAACCCTCAACTGTCCATGCACAGTATCCGCGAAACTGGCGGCACGTATGATGTCGAGCATGCCATAAAGCTTTTCGATTCCTTCCTGTCTCACTATTCCGAGCTTGAGGCCAAAATTTACGTGGATTAGAGCAGTCACGACGAGCTCGCACTGACCTGAATGGTGGGCAGGCGGCGTTGTTCTGGCTGCAGGCTACTGGTCACTTGTTCGCTGGGTGAGATCAACCCAGGCGCATGGATTTTGAACAACAAAGCGTGCTGCCCAGTTTCAGGCCTAAGGACCACGTGCAGTCTCATTGATTCGCGATAAGTATTTACCATGACAAGGTTGCTGGCAGTATGTGCTTGGTGAAGTGGCTGCCCCATTTTTTGTCAATATTTGCAAGCAAGGTCTGGCAAATACAATGACATTGACCTGGCTGAAAAATCGGCTTGCTGCTCTCAAGGCTTGATTTAATATAGATCTTTGAAGCTTGCAGTCTGCCACGTTTCCGTATATGCACCAAACAACAGTGAATAAGCGTGGGGAGACGGGGAGGGGGTTAAAGCTTATGAGTTGGAACCGTCATTAGCATTGCCGCGGCCGATGTAGTGTGACCGTATCGTGAAACTGGAAATGATCAATCGATATTCAGGATGATTTTCCCAGGGTGGGACACTTACATGTAGTATACAAAGGCGGGCAAAGGCTTCTTGGAAAACTAACAACAGCCTCTCTTTACACCAAACGAGTAGTCACAGGCATTAGCCACTCGTGGCGCAACGCAATGAGGGTCTGTTGAAGGTTCAGGGCTCAAGACAGGGAACAAATGGCAATATGTTGAATCTTCCATTACATGAATGTCCGTATATATTTTTAACCATGAATCTTGCCAAGGTGCTGAGCGAAAAAGTAGAAAGATTCTACCTTTTCATTCCCGCCTACCTACTCTGTAGGTAGCTGGACAGTGCGCGCATTGCATCTCGTGTGGAAAAGACCCAAGAGTGGAGGGGGCTTTGGACAGCAGCAGCAGTTGATATGTTGTGTCTACAAGCTACTACTGTTCAATGATGCAGGCGAGAATCTAACTCGTAGAGATACCTTGATATAGACATTTCCTATTACACGTTCCGTGTGGGAACGACATATATTTCATGTATTATTCATGTGCATGCTGTACACTATTTACTATTACCGCCTACCTAATCCGAAGAACGTTAGTCTGAGTTGAGGGTCGAGAGCTAAGCCAGCAGACCCTGCATGTAGTTTTGAGATGATGTGTTTCATCGGAAATTAAGCGAGCTGACAACAAGCAATGATCGCCATGTTTTGCATAGAGTCCTGGATCCTCTATCCCACTTGTTTTTCATTTCATTCTTTCCCTTGCCTCCTCCTCTTGTCCAGGGTTGTAGTCAATATGAAGATTCATCAATTCATGATCATACACTCTTTTGCATGTAGAGCTCGTCGATTCAAATTCATCGTTCGCCTTTCACGTTCCTCAAAGATGGACTGGTCAAAAGTAGAAGTCGTATAAAGAGAAACCAAAAAAAAAAAGGTGTGGTTTTGTTGCAAAATAGGCGTGAATCGGGGTTATTGACATCAGGCATTCAACGCCCATATATACAATTAGAAAATTAGCTACACAGATAGTATCAACACCAAGTCAGACATTGAAGCCGGGTCCCATTTGCTACCCGCCGACTTCCACCATTCCATACTACTCCAGAGGGGGTATCGACAGCTTAGAAGAAGAAAGCGGCGGCAGCGGCGGCCACAACGGCACCAGCGCTCATGCCGAAGCTGGCAGCACCGGCGGTCACGGGGTAGGTGGAGGAAGGAGAAGCGGGGGTGGTGCTATCATAGTCCAAGTCAGCTACATTGAAATCGCGAATTGGTTTCTGTGCGATCGAGGGGGTTTAAACTTACGCGTTGTAGCCGGGAATGGAGGAGCCAGAAGAGGGCTTGACGGAGGAAGCGGTGGTGGGGGTGACGGTCACGGTGCTGTAGATGACGGTGGGCACGCAGGTGGTGGTCGAGATGGTCAGGACCGAGGAGCTACCAGTGGCAGGGCTGGTGGAGCCGGCGGTCTTGACGGTGGTAGGGTAGACCGGAGAGGAGACAGCCGGGGAGGAGACAGCGACCGTGGAAGCCGAGTAGGCAGGAACGGAGGCGGAGTAGCCGGGGACGGAGGCACCGACCGAAGAGCCAGGGGAGCTCACGGCGTGGGAAGCAGAGGGAGTAGACTCGGTAGTCTTGACAGCCTCGGTGCTGGAGCTCTCAACAGCGTAGGTGGAGCTGAAGGTCTGGGTAGAGCGGGCCGGGCAGTTGGTAACCTCAGGAGCGCAGGAGGTGATGGTCTACATGGGCAGGTTAGTATATATGTATATAGAGTATCGTCTCCCCATGTCCATCAAGCGGCCGACTGGGTATCGTTTATCCGTCCTCCCCCTCCCCCCTTCTTTGCATTGTTGTAATTCGACCCAGCCGGCAACTGAAGGCACACAAGAGTAGTCGTGTGTTTGTCGGCACTTACGATGTAGTCAGTGCTGTAGACAGTCTGGGCCGAGACGGCACCAGCGAGGACGACGGCGGCAGCAGCGAAACGCATTTTGACTGATGTCTGTGCTTGTTTTGGTTGTGTGTTTAAGAGAATGTGTGGGCGCAAAGTAAGCTGGAAAAAGCTTGTGCGTTGTTTGATCTTTGAGTTGTTAAAGAGTGGACGACCGAGGTCAATGTTTCAATCGAATTGGCTTGTTTGGCTGAAGAAGGGAAAGAAAGAAGAGTGAAGACATGAGCGAAAGGGCAGCGGTATTAATAGGATAGAGACGACAAGGCGATTGGGCAAAGGCGTCAAAGGATAGGAGACAAAAGACTGGGTTACGGGAAATTAGCAGAATCGCGACAGGCGGGGGGGCGAGGCACCCGACACCCAAGCACTGGTCAACATGAAGACCGCCGCTCCACCAGGGACCGGGGGCGATGGAGCAGAACATTAGGCGGGCATGGAATAGTTCGGCCAAACATCCTGACTGGCAAACAAATTTAAGCCAATTTAAAGTTGTCATCGACAAGCCTGTGCTTGGCTCTTTTAGCTTGGTTTTATTTTGGCAGTAATAGTGGCAGCAATAGTAGTAGGCAGTAATACTAGTATGTAGCCGTTTGGCGGCGCCAATATGATGGCGGACGGTCCAGTGACGGCCAGCCAAACAGCCCCAGAATGTACACTACACTACTACGTACCAACAAGATAAGGTGGTTGTGGATTTGATCAATGGGATCATTACGCCAAATAGCTGGTCATGCGGATTCGTACAACCATGCACATGTTCAAGCCCTTGATATATATTCCTATTCGGCATAGTCTTGGCGCTCCGATTTGAGAAGAGGAAACCAGGTATAGTGCGGAGATCCAGAACGTAGTAGCGATGAGAGGGGGAATGGGCAGAGATTGAAAGAAAGAGAAGGAGAGAAAGACGGAAGATTCATACACAGTAGTAGACAGGAGACAGCCAGTGTGAGAGCCAGAGAGACGGAAACAGACGAGCCTCAAGCGGCCTCCCTCCAATGGCATCGTCGTTCCGAACATTTCCCCTGGAAATTTGACCTTCCTCCACGGTTGTGAAGAGGGGCCCGCCTTACTGATGAAAGAGGACGATGCAATATGGTTGCTGATTCGCCGGTGCCTTGGGGCGTCGTCATATGGGTCGCGATCCACCGAACCCGTCAATCTACTCAATCTACCTCCTACAGCCGTGGCGTTAGGGGTACCTGGTCAAGAAGTACCGCAGACAATCGATTAACCGATAGAGCGTAGTGCTAGGTGACGGACTTGCTGGTGCTTTGGGGCTTTGTCCCTATTGTTGCTTGTCACAAACCGGCCTTTGCAATCTGCGATAAAGGGGATCTGACAATCACGGGCTTGCAGAGCAAATTACCATACCCGGATTCAGGGTGATGCCGATTATCTAAGACAAATGTGCTTATAGACTGTTTCCCGTCCTTTCCCTCTTGACATGTCTATAAAAAAAACTTTAATATTGCGGTGTCCCTCTCCTATGGACGCCAAGATGAGGGGCAACAGGGGCACCAACCATCGACTATCTCGTGGACTTGCCTAGGTTTTATACGCAATAAAGAAGGTACATCTTTCTTTGACCTGGTTGGATTCACAAAAGTCTCACGAGGTCAATGTTTCTCATGTCCTTCGCCTATTCTCCATTTCAAGGAAAAGGAAGAAGGAATTTTTTCTTTTTTTTTTAAGGTGATCAGTAACTGTTGCTTGGTTTACGGCATTGCGCAACACAAATGGTAAACACGCTGTGATTCGTCACATTCAACCCTCGACGAACCCGGCAATGCTTCCAACATACCTAGGGTATGAGTCGGTATCGTTCATCGATAAAAGAAGTCATCTAAGGCAAGGCATTGACCCATTCCCGACTGTAATAATTCAGCCATCATGGTAGCAAATCCATCGACATACGTACACATGTAACTCAATTAAAGGACGTAAACATTTGAAGTAAGTAGGCATTTATTGTATCTCCTTTATTACCCTAGAGCGTGCGCCTTGTCTGCGAATCAGGCTACTGCTAGGTAAGTGCGCTGGGATACCCCGCAAAACTAGTTGCAATCGATAGGTACGTTCTCCGTGAGTACACAGCTTTTATTACCGCCTTGATGGAGTCCAAGAGGAGAAAAGAGAGCCAAAGTCCCACGAGGGCAGTGCTGCCAAAGCGCCAATCGGACTGCGCCGTCGCCATCGGAGGCTCGGATCAGGATTCTACAGTAGGAAGTGATGAGTGTTTATTCAATGGCAACCTTGGAAGTGTATGGGTCACGAAAACGACCGTCTGTTTGCCTTACTACTTTGCATACCTCAGGACCTCAATGTAGTAAGAAGAAGTTATGTACCGTCTATTAGAGGACGGGTAGGATGGTCATCGTTTTGTCTGAACCAAACATCCTGCGTCATAGTATGAAGCTTTGATTATGCCGACATCACCATAATGTAATAGAATAGGAGGGCTGACATCGGCTTCTCACATCATGCAAGTAATTATCATCGTCGTCTTCGGTTCGGGATCAAACACAATGTCGGATGGGAGCTAATGCAGGAACCAGTCAACATGCTACCAAGCTGCAAGTCTGGATGCATATGTACTCTACCCATACTTCCTATTTGCTGTGTATTGGAGCCGCACGGCCTTCTTGATCGTCAAGTCCTGATGATTTGAACCAGGCGGGGGGAAAAAAAAAAAAGAAGAAGGGGAAACGAAAAAATAGGTAGTGGACACAACAGTGAAACAACCTTTCCCCCTCAATTGCGTACTTCATAAAAAACGATCAAACCATCCATGCTGCTTTAATACTAGGTAATTAACCAATTGGTTTGACTTATAAAAAAAAAAAAATACTCCCCTTCCTTCTCATGCAAGAGAGTGCAGGCTTGTGACTGCACCGATCATCTCGGCTGCCGAATGAAGGTGCAATCGAAGTAATGCGGCGGCATTTGTCACTGTACTCGGTCTCATCAGATCATCCCCGAGATTTGACGCAGCCCAACCCATAATGATCACCGGGAACATGAAAAAGGGCGGTTAGGAGGATTGGAGACGACCCTCTCTCATTGACCACGATACGAGTACCGTCGGTCCTGTACCGACGAATCCGATGAATCCCAGAGGGTATAAACTGGGTCGGCTCCGCCTGATGCGGAAACAAGGGCAAATCCGGCGGGCACGACTATCACAGCAGCCACAGCTGCATATTTAAGATACGAAAAGACCGATCGGTGAACCGCAAACTTGACAGTCTAGCAGCTGGCTTTTCGGCAGAGATGGAACATTTTGTCCTCATCCACTGTCCGAATCTGCGCATGCGGGCGACGGGTGGGCTATGGACTGGCAGTACTGACAGAGGCCCCCGAGGCACCAGTGGTACCTCTGTGCAGCAGCAGTAGCAACAGCTGCAGCGCTCAGATCGCCATCGACTAGGTACTGATGGTGTGACAAGTGCTCCGAGAGATCAGCGCCATCGACAAGCCGCTAGTTGCCATGTGCTTCCGACTGTTATTCCTTATATCGGGAGGCCGATCATATCTTGGTCCTGGCGCAGGCCATACTGATTCCTGGAATTTATTACATGTCTAGCTCGAGTCTCGACAGACTCTCGCACGTCTTTGCGTTGTACTTCCTTCCCCAGCATCACCTACGTGCAAAGCTCGAGGACGCCTTGTTTCCATTGTTTCAATTTTCGTCACATGCTAGGCTGTTACTTGCAACTGCTCTGTCGTTGGCTACTGCTGCTGAAGAGGCGTTGTGATCAATTCTGGGACTTATCCTCGTCCTCGTGCCACGTGCAGTCAAGAACAACGACGGCGAAGGTTGCTGGTCAAAATCCACCGAATGACAAGACCGTTGTCTCAGGCCGCAACTGTCATATCAACAGTTTGCGAGAAAGGTGGAGACGGGTTGGCGATGTGAGATGCCGTCTCACTTACTAGAGCCATCGGACCGCCTTCCAACTTTTTGACTTTCTTGTTCAGCGCAACTCTTCGGCGTGAAGATGACTGGCTCAATTTCGAAAGATTTCGAGGCCGTTGTTGTCACAAGCTCGAACAAGGTGTGCACATACAAACTCTTGTGTGTTTCTGCGACAGATGAGTAGCATATCAAGCATGGCGCCCAGACACGATACGACCTCCCGGTATCTTGCAACATGCCAAAGAACGAGCCATGAAAATTTCGTTGTTGCAGGAGTACCCAGCGGCCGAGGGGGAATTGACTATTGAGTTGGCCAACAGAAGCCTCGATGCTCGACACGCCTCAAGTCCAAGGGTGCTGCCATATGAAACTCGCATATAACCTGGTTGAGCAGGACCACCAATTCAGAGAGAAACACCGTTAATACCTGCAGGCTTCTCCATACAAAAGCGAATCGATCATCGACCCATCAGAGTGAACAGTCGAAGATGAATACACTCGTTCTCAGCTGCATTAGAAAGCATCAGTTCATATGCTTGGACAATGCGAATAAACCTCGAGCCCCCCTCTACCCTTCGTTTGGGCCTTTCCGATTACGAACACACCTCATCGAGTACAACCCGCAATTTAGTCAGGTCATGAACACGGGCCGAAGTATTGAAGACTATTTTACCTACATTGTCAGTAATCACCTCGACTATATCTTGTATGTTTCGAACGCCAAACACACATGTGCTGGTTGGACCAGCGTAGCCGGTGCCTCTTCCGTGCCCGGAACTCAGGTGATACTAAAATTCCAATTGGAAAGCGAAGCACACGTGCTCAGGTCCGGTGCTAGTAGTCTATAGGTTCAGGAATGAGCACATGCAATTCTGGTCTCATGCTTGTCCGTTTTGATATTGCGCTCACCGGGGATCTGTTCAAAGTAGGAACACTGGTCAGTATTCCGACCAGATAGGATAGGAGTAGAGTTTCACTCGGTGAGTCAATCAATACTAAAAGATATAAGAATGTAATATATGAACAACACGACAATACGCTTTCCTACATTTCAAGTTGTTGATTTTTACGTTCCCCCCCCCCTGTCTCTCTCTCTCTCTGTGTGTGCTAGAGTGGCCGTCTGCTTAGCTCACCGCCCCACCATTAGCACAAAGACATCGGGCGCTGGACATCTGGAGGGGTGAGGGGTTGAGGGGAGAATGACAGGACTAGTACGTACCCTTAACCTACCAACTCGTGCCATCAGGCTAATCAAATGTATTGATCAATGTACACACAAGCCAAGGTGGGGTGATTGGAGAGGATGTGGAAAAAATGCCACTGGAGAGCGCAAAAGAAATGGTTGGGCTGCGGGCTACCTAACCTTACCTACGGAACCTCACCCACATTGACTGCTGGGTGGCATACTGTACACATGCATTACATACACATCATCTTCTCCTTCACGTCCAAAACCTGATCGTGACACGCCCTACGTAGCCCGAGAGCTACTTTTCTCACTGCCAGAGACTTTTCCTATCGGGTGGAACTCGCCTTATTCAGCCGCTTTTTACCTGCTTGTGCTCTAGACTTTCCGACCGGCAACAAGGGGGTTAGCAGAGGTGGGAGAGAAAAAAATTACCCATCGTAAGTGAGCCAGCAGACAGCTCAGCCTTGGGTGCCTACGGTAGATAGGCTTCTGCGGTCAATTTTTTCTCCCTCCTACCTGGTCCAACCACCTCCAAGAACTATATTGGTGACATTCCCTCCACCAGCAGTTCCATACAGAGAAAGAACTTCCTCTTTCCCATCAACCCCCCCCCC